GGTTCAACTCCTTTTTGGTTTAGTTCTTGATAGAGCTGACAAGGTCTTCTGACCCACTTGTGGATTGGTGCATCTGGGTGCACATGATATAGCTGGGTAATGCCAGGCTTATAATTGTTAATTAGATATTATTAGAAATCTTTAAACTTTGTTTTTAGTCTAGTAGTAACATAATTTGTATTTGAGCACCGACAAGACTGTCAAAGAATTAAAAAAAAAAAATAGTATTATTATTATCAAATTTTAATACAATATCTTAAATTAATCTATTTAATTATCTAATTTATTCTTGAATTTAGCACAGAACTATATTCTAAACATCTCGCATACAACATCAAATATAGAAAAAAATTTTTTTTAAATTTTGATAGTACAGTACACCTAGTAAACGAAACTAAAAAGTAGCAGGTTTGTATTATTTTATATCATATTTCACCAACAAGCTTATTTTACAGACTATTAATTTACAAGTTTATTTCATAGATAGTATATTTTATTAGCATTTTATTTCACAGACAAGTTTTTTATAAATTACAATAACTTTTAATTTTAAAGCTAATTATAATGAAGATTACTTCATCTGTGAAATGAGCTGTTGATTAAATATACTGCCTATAAAATTAACTTTATGTAAAATAATCATCTATAAAATAAGCTTGTTGGTGAAATAGTTATTTGAAGTGTTTGGTGAGTCAATCAGACCAAAAAAAATATTTTCTTCGAGATTAGGACCTAAATAACTCAAAATAATTTTTATTAAGTATTGTCAATCAAGAAAATTAAAATACAACAAAGAGATAAATAAAATTAAAGAAATAAATTACAATTTTATTTTAAACATTTTTTATTATAAACTCGCAATATTTTTTTACTGTATTAAAGAAAAAAAAAATGTAATGAGTAAATTTTATAATCTATATACTGTAAAACAGTTTTTTTAAATTTTTGACAAAATGTTTCTAATATAACGACTCTTTGAAAATGCATTTTACTAAAAGTCCTCACTCATGCATATCTAACAAGCTATTTTTCATGTCAAGATCTAGAAAACTCCAAAAGAATCATGCAAGAGAAGACAAAATAATTGCTTATCTTTGAGGAGGTTACGTATTATCAGAAGACGTTATTCTTTATACCGTTTGATTCATTGAAGCTTTGGCAACTTATTTGTCTTAAAAAACATTATGTGTTATAACTAAGACTTGAGAAGAAATTTTAAAAACATAATTTTGTGAATTCGCGTAATTTATAAAAATCATATGATAAAAAATTAGATGTGATATCTTGATCGACTATTATTAAATATATTTTTATAATTACTAATATTAAAAAAAAAAACCTTGAATAACTATTGAAATAAATTTGCCTGAATTACAAAAAGTGGCAAGCATGGTCGAACGAGGATTATGGCTAATTAAAGGAACATTTAACTATAGTCAGACCTCTCTATAATCACACCCCATATAGTCACACCTCTATTTAAGCACCAAATTTTGTGTGACAGACCCAAATATAGTAAAAAAATCTCATTATAGTCACAAATTGCTTATAATTACTATTACAATGAAAATTTGATTTTTTAATAATTTTATTAAAAATAAACCCTCATTATAGTCACTAATTTTTAAATAAAACAAGCAATTAGTCTAATTGACTACAATATTTGCATGTTGTGACAGGTTAATTTAGTGTCACATTTCCTAAATCAGGCTATAACAGCTATACATTTCTATTTTTAGTATATTTTTATTCTTTTTATGTATATTCTTAAATATGACAATAGAATTTTCTTATATAGCTAGAATAGTAAGGGAAGTAAGGAAAGTTAGTGAAGTAAGAGAAGTAAGTGAAGGAAGGAAGAGATTTCGCTCACCTTTTTAACTTGTAAAAATCTATATAAAGGGCTTCTAGCTTGTTCAAATAAAGAGGAGAACTCATAAGAGTTTCAACTTTGAATTCATTGTAGTAGAAGTTGTTCTTTAATAATTGTTCTTTAAACCCAAAATCGTTCTAACAAATCTAAAAATTCCATCCCAGAATTAGTGTAGAGTTATTATCGTTTATAAAAAACTAAAAGACAAATAAAAGATTTTTAGTAACCTCAAATTACTTTTATTAAAATACTTATCGTCCCAAAATTCCTTGTCTCATGATCTTGATAAAGTATTTTTTTTCGATTATTCTAAACATAGAATATATAAGAGAGAGTATTGAATAATAAGTTAGAACCCTTTAATATAACGAAAATACCTTTATTAGAAACCTTATTTCTCCTATGATACATTGTTATTACTAATTAAGATAATAATCAATTAATTGATTGAACAATTAATTGATTTTTGAAATCACCTGTAACCTTATAACCCCATGACGTTGGTTAAATTGAAGATCTAATTTCTGACATAGATTTCCTATGACATAGATCTTGGATTGAATTATACCTTAAACTTCTGACTACTGCAGCTATACTAGTGACGCAACATGTGACTGAAAAGACTGAAGCATTCTAAATCAAAGACATAGAAATATTAGAGTTAGAGTATTAGATATAATTGAAGTAACCAAATACTAAAAAGGATATAGAAGTCTTATCCAAGGTCATATACAATAATTTAAAGACCTGAAAGACTTCGGAACTCAGTCCAAGTCAACCATGTCTCTATTCAAAGCTTTTCAACCCAAAGTCCTAGGAGTTTTGTACATTGACTCTATAATTTGAAGCATTGAATTGATAGATTATATAGTATTTGAAGAGTTTAATTAGTTGTTTGTGTAGTTTTTGTTTTAGGCTATTAGTCACACCTTCACAACATACTGAATCTGTGACAGGTTATATCAATTACTGAATCGAAAAAGATTAAATGCAGATTTTAATTTACTTTATATTCAATATTTAGTCATACCTATATATCTAAAATTTCGTGCCAAAAATGTTTGTTTAGAAGTCAACCTACGGTTATTATAGTAAAATCTTGAGTTATTTACGAATTTTTTGTTTTCTCAATAAGAAAACAGAAAACTCAAGATTTTACTATGATAACCATAGTTTGACTTCTAAACAAATGTTTTTGGTACAAAATTTTAGATATATAGATATGACTAAATATTGAATATAAAGTAAATTAAAATCTGTATTTAATTTCTTTCGATTCATTGATTGACATAACCTGTCACAGATTCAGTACTGCAGTATGTGCACAAAGATCTATGTATTCGTGGACTCATGTGACTTAAAAAATTACAAAGATTGTCGATCTATATAAATAATCTAAGTATTTAAAATAATCTATCTATTCATAAATATTGCTTTTAATTTCAATCAGTAAGTATTCATTAACCTAAATATTTAAAATAAGCTATTTGTATCAGTGAAGTTTTAAATACACTGCCGCTATCTAATATTAATTAGAACATTTATCCAATATTTTAAGGCCGTAATTCAATACTATGAACTAAGTATACTATAAACAACATTAATTAATATTTATATTTTGTTTATAGACTATAGATTTTTGATTTTTAATAAAATTTTTATAATCACCATTTATAATTTTTAATATAACGGTAATTATATTGAGGTTTAAATTTATAGTTACACCTTTCTATAATCACCATATTAGGGCGCAACCAACTTGGTGACTATAGAGAGAGACAACTGTAAATATAAAAAGCTTCTGAACCTTCAGGATTCTGGTTCTCAATGTTATTAAATAATATTTATAATATATATTGTAGGTCTTGACTTTTAATATCAATAAATATAGTATACTCTTTCTGTAGATCACTTAGAGGTTGGAACCAGTTTTAAATATTCGAGTTTATCACATCAAAATTCAAGTTTATCACTCCAAAATTCAAGTTTATCACATCAACCATTAATAATTGATGTGATAAACTCGAATTTTGGAGTGATAAACTCAAATTTTGATGTAATAAACTCAAATATTTAAAACCGGTTCCAACCTCTAAGATCACTTTACCAAAATTGAAACAAGAAAAAAAACTTTTTCACAAACTTTTCTCAATAACTTACTAAGTAAATTGATATTTGGCTTTTAAATAAAGTATTCAGCACCTCCAAAACTATCTAAAGGAGGTGCAATTTTTATTAAAAGGCTTCACCACGACAAGCTAGTAGTAATAAACACTCAAAACAGCAACAAACCAGTTTTTTAACCCTTCCACAAAAGCGGTTCTAAGGACCTTTATATTCCCACTAACCAGAAACAAACTACAAGTAGTGCTCTTAGCAAAAATAACAAAAAGCAACAAGTACCTTACTCTATCAAGCCCCAAAATCTCAACTAAAACATGGTCTCAGAAAGCTCCTCCTTCTACTTTGGATTTTTTTCCCGGACCACCAAACCTGCACAACCTGAAGACACCCCACTATCAGCTCGCCTCCAAGCTCTGGTGTAGAACATACAAAAAATTTTTTAATTTCACTATGAAGAACTGGTCAAAACTCATTTTTACTGTTAGCTTCTCTATTTCTGAGTACGCTAACACTTTCATCTTCTCCGTCGATATTACCAAATTTGAAAAGATACCTAACTTGGTTAATTACCCACCACAATGGATATGCAACATGACGATCTTGCCAAATCTGTTCTATTCGATCTTATATCACAGAAAAATAGTATTGTAAATATTAGTACCAAATATCCCAAAGCTACTCATAATAGTAACCTTGTAACAATTACAAACCTCTATGAAAGAAGCATGAAACCATTCATAAAGGCTAAAAGCATAAAAATCTTACTATAATCCCATACAATAGTATTACAGATCTTGACTCAGACAACAAATCAAACAGAAGTACCAATGAGCAGGTTATACAAACATTAGCCTCTACCAATCCTAGCCATCCCCAAGACTCTGTTACAGAGCACCCAATTATTAGCACAGACAACAATAACACAAACTCTACACCTGATACAAACAAACCCCCTAGTACTAAATCAACTAGTATTCAAAATACTAGTACAAACAAGGCCACCATGCTCAGACCCAGCACATCTACTAACCAGATCACCCAGCCGATACTTACCACACCTAACCCCAAGTATATCTCTGTAGCCACCACAGCCAACCCCAACACCAATCGTAAAAGATCCAGAAACTTATCTAATATTTCTTCACTTGCTACCACCTCGAATAAAGCTACCAAGGCTGTATTAGACAATACCTCAACTTCTTTTAGAATACAAGCAAGTACAAAGACACCTACTACAAGATTGACATATAGCCAAGCTGCTCAAACAGATCTAAAGCTACTCAAGACTGATGCTCCTGAAAATGAAATGGAGTGGGCTTTAGAAGTATACCTCAAAACTGCTAAGCCTATTGATACACCCTTTAATACAAGTATCTGGTAATTTTACAAAATTGCAAAAGCTCTCGAGACCCCTGAAGGTATCTATAACTTTACCAGCTATAAGCTTATTACTACCCCAACCAACTACAAGCTACCTAAAGCAATCGCCCTTGAGTTTGCTCACCAGGATATTAGGTTCTTTACAACATTCATATGCAATCCAAAAACTACTCCGGCTCACCAGAAAGAATATAATGAGCTTTTCAACAATGCACTTGTAGCCTACAAACAAAATAATGAGATTACACTTACCAATATTACTACTCGTAATACTATTTATACAATGCTTAGAACATGGCTTATTGCCCAACACCTGTTAAATCTTAACTTTTCTAGAACTACATACAGAGGAATATGCAGTATTATCTTGTATGCCAGAGGCTTTCTAAAGATCAAGAATACCAGCGAGAAAACTCCTAAAGAAATCAGAGCACAGATAAACAAAGCACTAAAGAACAAGCTTATCCCATTACCTGATATACCAGAACAGATATCCAAAGAGGTTCAAAAGATCTTGCTCTTTGAACTTCCTGTCAAAGTATGATCACACTAGAGCTGTAGTTAATGCTCTAAGAAGAATCTACAAATTTTTTGAGCTTCCAGATGTATACTTTGTCAAACAGTTCCAATTACCTTCTCATTACAGTGAACTTCCGCCTAGCCTGCACCAACTATTTTCTATATCTCATAGATCTTCACTCTAATATCTTACTTTATACAAAAGAAAGTTAGCAGATTCATATACTGTTACTCAAATTCTGGACTTATACTTTGACCTGCCACCTCCCAGAAAACCCTTACCTACAACATACCAAGAGCTTAATCCAAAAGTCCGAAAATTCTTTCCCTTCAACCAAGCGACCTCTCTTATACCTTTAGCAGAAGTTATTTCTCAACTTAGAAAATACTATACATTTAAACTTTTACCAAATAACTTCTTTACTGTTAAACCTCCTCTTTCTACAGAAATCAGCAAAATCAAAACTACTACAGCTTTCAAGTTTCTTATCACAGATGACACAGTGGCCAGAGAATTTATGAAACAAATCTCTTCTCATTATAGAGTCCAACTTCCACTTCCTACAGAAATTATGCAAGCTAACTCTACTAACAAACCTACTTTGCCATCTGCTGAAGAAATTACAAAACTATATAATATCTCCTCCCAGTTACAACTAAACACCAACTTACATTTATGGCGAGACTACTTCACAAGTATTACTACATCAACTAGCTTCCCTTGGACTGGATACAAATTAATGACAGCCCTTTGGCTGATACTGGACCCAACCAGCAAGCAAGCTTTTCCCAACATTCCAGAAGATATAGAGGAAATTATCCAAACATTATCAAAACAAGAAATTATTGTCTTATTTCCAATCCAAAACAAACCAGATATTACCCCAACTATAAAAATCCTTAGACAGTTCTATATAGTTAAAAAAATCACTGATAATCTGCTTGATCTTCCCCTCTTCCTACCCCAGCCTGGGGCATTTTCAGCTACACACCCACACCACCTAGTCCAACTACTCCAAGTTCAATACAATCTTTCACAGAGGCCAAAACATATTTTTTATCTATAGAGGATACTAAAACCAATACAAGCAAAACTTCACCACCTACTAATACTTAATCACTACTTTTAATCTTGGCAGAAGAAAGCACACTCAACAATACTCAAAACATCACATTATCAGACAATTCAGATATCTCACTTCTAGTAGGCAACCTCGTGCCAATAGATACAAATGAGCACTCAAATAAGTAACTCCTACACTCGAATGAATAACCTCTTATACCCACCTACAAGCAATATACGAAATTCTAACACTAATATATTTCACCCTCTTACACTTTTAATTTGTACACATAATGTACAAGATCTAAACACAGATGTTAAAAAAGAAACATGAGAACACTACTGTATACAGCACAACCTTGATATTGCTAGCTTAACAGAGACCAAACTCTCTAATGAAACAGTTCATTACAAGCAACGCAAAACTCAACATTATACCTACCTATGGTCATGCACCAACAGCTCTCGAGCTGGAACTGCTATTATGATCCACAACCATCTAGCCCCTCATATTCATAAAATTACTATGGTCCCTGGCTATGCTATAGCAATAGACCTCCTTTTCAAGAATGACTTCAAGTTTTGCATTATCTCTCTTTATCTACCTAGCAATGATGCACAGCTTAGACTCCAAACACAAAATACTATTATTCAATGGCTACAGCAAGCAAGAGCACAAAACATTCTCCCCATTACTTTAGGAGACTTTAATGCATCCACAAATGATATACACTCACAATCAATTAAATGCAAACTTCTCCAATATCTAGCATACAATAACATGTACAACTTGGCCTCACACACTCACAAATCAGCCCCTACTTGGCACAGAGCTAACTATAGCAGTGAAATTGATTATATTTGAGTCTATCAACCAATTCTCCAATATCTCACAGACTATGATACCGATAACTCAAATTCTAGTACATTAAGTGACTACAAGATTCTGATTTCCAGTTGGCTCTTTTCTTTTGCAACAACAGGACAATCCAGGCACAAAACTCAGACCAAAAGAAGAGTCTTCGACTACAAAGCTATGAACCAAGAAAAATGGGAAGACTTCACCAACCAGGTCAATACTAATCTATGACAACACCACACACTATTTACAATACTGACCTTAGAAACCCTAGAGACTACCTGCACAAGATTTAAACAAGCATCATTACTGCAGCACTCTAGCATATTCCTAATAAAAAATTCACAGTCCGTAATTTCCAGTATACTTTTTCTTCTAAAGCGACCCAACTCCATTATAGCCTTAAGAAACTTAGTAATACTATTAGACAGGTTAAACACTCACTTAAGTCCAAATGTTAGGCCCCTACCCAGCTAAATGCTACAATTACTTAATCAATTACATGACCTCCAAATACCTTCCTCTTCTACAACACCCCAGCTCACTACCAACTAGCTAGTATTAGCCAATACAGAGTGGAAGAAGTTATACTATGCACGCAACCTGGAAAATATTAGACAAACACGGCAGCAAATTACTGAGGCAATTTCTAGAAGATGTACAAGCCTTCAATCAAATTCTACATCAATGCTCAATAGTATTCTCAACCGCCAAAGAGACCCAGTAAGGTTTAGCAATATCAAGTTAGACCAAGAAGTTATCACTGACCTACATTCAATCAAGTTCCATATTCAACAACATTTCAATGACTGGACAGCCCTTCGTCCTATAAACCAAGAAATATTTAATGAACACTGGCAAGAAGAGTACAATCCCAAACCTCATATTCTATCTAACTGGTACTCTACAGCCCTCTCTAACTTTACTCAAGAAGAAGTACTCTACACTCTCAGCCAGCTACCTAACAACAAAGCATGTGGACCATCAGAAATAAGCTATGAGATGCTTAAACATGCAGGCCCCAAGTTTATACAGACTATAACAGCATTGCTAAATCGATGTCTCATCTTCCAAACAATCCCTAAGCAATGGAAAGAAGGAAGAATCTATCCAATTTCCTAGAAATCTATCTTTGACAGCAATCTATCTAATACTAAACCTATTAGTCTCATTGAACACATCAAGAAACTCTACACCAAACTTCTTACTAACTGTCTAAACAATATTCTATCAGAACACAAAGTTCTTTCTCCTTTTAACTATATTGCATTTCCAGGCAACTTTACTTCTATTCCAATACATATTCTCAACAATATCATAGAGGATGCCATATATAGCTCTAACCAGCTCTGGATTCTCTCACAGGATATGAGTGAAGCCTACGACTCAGTTAATCTTGACTTGTTCCAGAAGTCCCTGTATAGAATTAACATGCCTTAGCCACTTATCAATATTCTTACCAACCTTCTTACTGACTATACAAATCGTGTAATTACCAACTTTGGACTCACAAGTCTTTACTCAGTACAAAATGAGATTGATCAAGGAGAAACTATAACCCCACTATTCTGGAGAATATACTATGATTCACTTATTACAAATATATCATTAAACCTACCAGGTTATACCATGCAAACATCTTGGCAAACTAGCCTTACTTCACTCTCCTCTAAGCGCCTGTCGTGTTCAACTTCGGTACTTGCCTACATGGACGATACTCTGTGAATTGCCCAAACTAAAAAAGACCTAGAAAAAATAATACATACTGCCTCATCTTTCTACAAAATGGCCAATATTCAGATTAATCCTTCCAAATCAGTCTTTATATTAAACTACCCAAATGCAAATATCTCTTTTCTGCAAACTAGTCTAGTTTCTATTCCCTCCAATCAGCCTTTCAAATTTCTTGGATGTTGGTTTACCCTCAATAACAAACACTCCAAACAAATCAAGCTTATTCAGGAAGAGGCTCTCAATTTAGCTTATATAGCCAACACAAAAAAAATAACAGACAAACAAATAGCCTATGTTATCAATAAGTAATAATTCCTACAATCGAATACAGGATCCACAATTTTATCTATCACATTCTACATATCTCAAAATTTTGGGAAAATATCTTACTATTGCTAAGCACAAAGCCAATCTTTCTTGGTCTACACCCAATAGCACAATGCTGAACCACAATATTTACAATATTCACAACATCTGGGATATACAACTCCAGCACCATACAAGCAACTTCCTCTACAGGATTAACAACAGCTCTACATTAGGAACTACTACTCATATAAGATTACAACAGCTACAAAACAATCTCTAGTTAACTACCAATCTTCTTCACTATTGATGGACCTAACATATATACTACTACTTGTAAGCTTATTTCACTTCTACAACAAACTGGCATTAGCATTGTGGCCAACTCCAATATAGCATAACCACAAACAATTCAAGATAGCAACTTACCACTTGAGCCCATACTGTCCAAGAATGTAAAATACAAAGTATTCAAACAACAGCTTCATTACAAGCGTATTCTCTATATAGAACAGCTCAGTTCAGCAGATAACAAACAAAAAGCCACAATGGTTTTCTATTCTTGAAAATATAATCATAGACAATTTGCAATATAGAACCATACTCACACAATTTTGCCTCCAGGTACTAATCCATTTGCATATCAATCAAGTTCTATTCCCAAGAAACTGAAACCTTGGATACTTACTTACTAGCAAGATAGTATCATTATAAAACAAATAAGAAAAAAGCTTAAACAAACGAACTCAATATCTATTACACATTCGCAACATGATATAAACACACAACACTATTTGCTATATCCACTCCTACATATTACATGCAACCCATGTCCCAGTTGCAAGCTCATTTCTAACTGATTATCCAACTACTGCACAATTGAGGTTTCCAATATCCTATCCACACAATTCCTTGGAAGGAAAACATACAACAAGCAGCTCAAACTTAATGCTAACTATATTAATCTCCTATACTCTACAGCAATTAAACATCCTTTCACTCTTCTACCTCTACCCAGTATAAATATCGTAGACTCTTTAGCTTATAGTCTATTTTACAATAGTGAAGCAAGCCAACAATTAGTACAACTCACCCTTAGCAACCAAAATACACCAACATTCACCTTCTACACAGATGGATCAGTATCAGAAATTGGCACTAGCAACTGCTCAATAGGAGTTGGCTGGGTACAAGTTCACAACAACCAAGTTGTCAACAGCTTCTCTGCAAAGATTACAGACTGGCCATCATCATACAAAGCAGAGCTTGTAGCAATTCTATCAGCTATCTCTACACTACCACAAAATACTAAAGTAGATATCTTTACTAATTCCCAGTCTATTATCGCCAAATACAATAAACTTCTACGCACTTCTACAAAGTCTAGAAAATACTTCAAGTTTAACTACTGGCCTATTTGGCATTCAATTCTCAATGCTATCAAAGGCTTTCAATATCCAACTCACCTTCCATAAAGTTCTAGCACATTCTAACAATCAGTTCAATAATGCTACAGACCTGCTAGCTAAAAAACACCAACAACACACTTACACTCTTCAATTCAACCATACTAATATATACAATTTACATTCTATTATACAATGGCGCAAACACAATGTAGAGAAACCTACAAGGCAATTTGTCAAAACTATTGGCAGAGCACAAACTATAGCAATGTGGTCCTCCCAAAAACGCAATATAGAATAGAAAAGCCATGTATCTACAATTGACTAGAACTCCACTTGGCGTTATATCAGCAATAACAAAAAGCTACAACAAATATTACATCACCAAAATCAAGCTATATGAAAGCTTTTAGAGTTAAACATTTGCTTAGTGACTTACCCACCTGCTTACACTTCCACCTTATTTTACCCAAAATCTACCATATCCCTACCTGCTTCTCATGCAATAGCTCAGAATCAGCAACTCACTGGCTTACTTGCAACAATTCCCAAACTTTCAGTCAGATTGTACACACCTCAATTACAGAGATTATCACTAAACTGTTTACTAATGCACCACTTACACTACAAAGAAAAATCACAGATCTAATCAAATCTCATCCTTCTTTTAACTACTCTTAGCACCCCTCTTCACAATTATACTCACTATTAATAACCCTAAAAGGGCTTATCTCCTCCCACCTACTACAAGCATTATCCGCGCTAGAATACAATACAAAGAAGCCTCAAATATTATTATCCAAATACTACTACTTATATCCTCAGAGATATATGAACAAATTTGGAAACTATACTGCAAAAAATTCGCCAAATGGAAAAAAGAATACAAAATACCAACCTATAACCAAAACCTCTCTTTACGTCAAAAGGCCTCCATCAAACTCGCCAATCACGCAAAAATTTCATATATAGCTGCTTTTGTGGCTTGCAAGACCAGCTCTATACTGACAATAATAGCTGCCCTCCCAAAGAGCAGGCTCAGCAGAAGTTTATCCAATGGTCAGAATTATGGATCCAATATAGCATGCCCACAAATCATATATTGACTATTAATCTAGGTGAGTTTTGACCACTCTAGTAGGTTTAGGTCGCAGATAATTAGTTTGAGTCTTTAGTTCTTTAGTCCAATCTTTTAGTCTGAGCTCTTATTATTGCATTTAATTTATATCTATTTGTCTTGTACAAGTTGGGTTTTTATTATAATTACCTAAATAAATTACCAAATAAAGATATGAGCAAGGCCTCACCTTAATAACAAAAAAAAATATATCAATAAATATAGTACATATTGATAAAAAAATAAAAAAATTAAGTCAGTCAAAATGCATTTTTATAATTTCTTTTTATAATTCTAATTATAAAATGGTATATTTATTCAATAAAAAAATATAAATTAAATTAAATTAGTTGAAATTTATGACTCTTTCATAATTTCTTTACTAGCAATGAATAAATTCAATTATAAAAAAATAAATATTTCTCTGAAACTGAATTAACCAATAAGAGGTAGTAGTTTCAATTTCAGCCAAATTTCAAATCAGCCACTAATGTTTTAAAATATTTTTAAAATGTTTTTTGTTTTTTTACTATCCCTACAGAAAAGTGCCATACCCAGATAAATTTTTTTAAGCAGGTACTCAAAAAAAATAATAATTACCGTATCAAGCTTTATTTTATATGTGTTGTATTAAATATGCAATATATATATATATACTTAATAAAAAAACTTAACTATACACAAATCTAGTATTAACAATTTGGGTATGGTATGAAAAAAAGGTAGGCAATATAAAAAAAGTGTATCCAAAGTTAAATATATGAGATAATGAACTCTTACCTTAGTATCACAAACTAATTTTCTAAAACAATTTAAAATTATTATTATTATATAATATAACATTAGAATGAATATTTATTTATTATAGATATAATAGACAAAATCTTTTAGTCTAAAAGGTCTTTTATAACAAGAGTGAGTATAGATATTAAAATATAGGCTGCCCCCAATAGAAATAAAGCAGATTGATATTTTAAAAAATCAATACCTTAACTTTCACAGTCAATATATTGATGGATTTTGAGTCTGTCTTAATGACTCATTATTCAAAAAGAAGCATATGATCTAAGCTTTCTTTTGAATATTAAATCATCAATATAGCCTTAAAATTCATCGAGATAAGAGATGTAAAAGTTAAGGCATTAATTTTTTTTATAATGTCAATCTGCCTTATTCCTATTGATGGCAGCTCATATCTTTGAAATTTCTATAGTATAAATAGAAAAATAAAATTATTTTAATGCCAATTTATCTTTTAATTCTAACTATTTATAAATTTTCTTAAATTGGTTCAAAATAACTAATTTTTATATAAGAGTATATTTATTTACTGTACATATTGAATATTTTTTGTATATGCTATTCAATCACTATTTAATTATGTAATAAATTAATTTCCACTCACATTATATTAAAAATAAGAAAATTTTATTTACTTTATTAAATGTATTAAACTTACAGAGCTAAGTATTTGTGAATTTTTAGCAAATAATTATATTTAAAATTTTAATTAATTTTTAAATTTATTTTTAAGTCATAGCTTTGTGGAGAGTTGCCAAGAGGAAGCTGAATAATAATATTATTAACTGGTAATAATGGTTTTTGATATTTTTTATAAGAAAAAAATAATGAAAAATTAGGATTACATAAATTATTTTGAATATAAGATTTAGAAATTCTTCTATTTTGTTTTTGAAATTGACCAGAAATTGGAGTCACAGAAGCTTGAGTTTTTTGCAATGCAATAATTAAGGTTTTTTCTTGTATAGCAAAAACCTGAATTTCTTGTATTGTATAAACTGGAATTTCTTGTGCCATAGGAGCTAAAATTTCTTGTGCTATAGGAACTAAAATTTCTTGTGCCATAGGAACTAGAATTTTTTGTACTGTAGTGTGCTATAGAAATAGAAATTTCTAGGGCTATGACATTTATTATTTAATATTTATTTACTATAAAAGCTTACTACACACCCCAGATAATATCATTTTAGCCAATCAAATTAAACTAAGATAAGATTTTTCTTGACCCACCCCTAAAATATTACCTAATAAGTGTCATTACCCTAATTGTGAGCAATGTTATAGAAGGCTTTTCTGACATGAGTTATGAACAACTTGTGTATAAGCATTGGAAGCCATGCTAAGAATTAAAGAACCTTACAAAACTTAAGCACAGTAATATATAAGAAGTAAAAATATATTTAAAGGCACTAAATTTTTATTAATAAAGTTTTCTCAAACTTCAATGTCTTTAATGAAATAGAAATAAGAATTGAATTCTTACTTGATATAGTTATTTTTATCATTTGTATTATTGTTACCCTAGAATTATCTTTGAGTGTTCTCTAATTTCCAACATATTATTTTATGTATATTACTATTGTTATCTAAAATGATCTTATTATCTTGAACCTATTACTTAGCCTATTTAAATTACTTTTTTTAAATTATATGCATAACCCAAATCAGGGCCAATTTAGTGAAGACCCAATCCTGATTTACATAAATTGTGACCTTAATTTATATGTTCAAGTATTAACAAATAATACTTATTAGGTAGCTGTGCAGCGCATAATGCGGCACAGGACCAGTATGATCCAGCGTTTACTAAATCAGGAATATTAGATGATGTTTTGTGTTGTTTTTTAGTTTATGTCAGTTATTAAAAATAGTAATTAATAAATTATATAGAAAGTGATAAGAAGTAAATATATTTCTGTGTTTCATGTGAAAGGTAAATTTGCAGATCAATTATGGCGAAGTTAGTTTTGGAGGGTTTCGGACTTATAGGATAAAATTAAAATTTTTTCGGACAAAACATTTTGGGTTTGAAAAATAGGTTAACTCAAAACACCGGTATATATGTACGTATGTATGTTAATTAGATCATATATCGTAGAGATGGGCACACGCATGATCCCGCGCATCACGCAAGGGATTTTTAATATGTTCTCGAAATAAGATTATTTGGCCGGCATTACCATAATATCTGGCTAGCATTAATATAATATCTGACCTGCATTAACATATTTAGCTAATTCCTAATTAAAATTTATTTATTTATTTACATACCATTTCACACATATGTTTATCTATATATACGATAAGAATTTACTTTCTTTGTCGTTGGCATTTTTCGCTACATTACAAAAATATTCTTTATGATTAAGTCACTCTTTTAAAAATAAATAACATGCATAGTAATAATAATATATGGAATAATATTACAAAAATCAGATCAGATGAAACCTTTAACCAAGGACGTTCTTAATGTGATTATTGCTATTAAACCTTGCATTACACAGACCCAAACCTTAAACATTAAAAAATTAAACTCCGGCCAAAATTATTTATAATGCAGCCAAAATTTTGTCAATCACAGCCGTTGGCCAATCAAAATTGAGGTTCAACCGCGTGGCACCTAGATTAATAAATCCCGTGCGGGATTATTTTGAAAAACCGCGATTTGCCCATCTCTAATATATCGTATACATTGTTGTACATTTTATTGAGGAAAGATTTTTGAGTAAAGTTTTTTTGATAACTATTTGATCAAATTTAATGAAATTTTTTTTTTTTAGTTCTATATATTTGTAGGATTAAAATAAAAAAATTTCATCGAATTTGATTAGATAGTTATAGAAAAACTTTATTTAAAAATTTTTGGATAATGAAAACATCAACATTGATTGTATAGGCATATAAATTAGCTTGTTTTATTATATATTCATTTAGTTTTTTCATCATATTCTTGGTAGTGTTTGTTGACTGCTAACGAGTGTGTAAAAAGCATTATGTATAAATGTATAAAAGTGATCTTACTTAACAGGTAATTAATTTCCAATTTTTTATGTATAATGTTTTTACGTATTTAAATACGTGAATTGTTATTCGTTTGGATATTTGATGGATTTATTATTAATTAGAGATGCAGTCTGTTTAAAAATTTTACTGTAAAAATGGTTTTAACTGTAGTTAGTATATAAATAATTTGAACGGGCGTTGATTCAGGTAATGGTTCTTATATTTATACATATTTATTAATAGTTATTAAATACTAACATAAACATGATAAAAGAAGAAAATTTACGCAGTGAATAAGTCATAAATCAAGCCAATTTACACGTTTTAGCATCATTACGGTTAAAATTTCTCAGGAATTTCTCATATATGCGTTAAGTCAAAATTATCTAATAAAAAAGATAAAAAACACGGTTTCTGTATAAAAATAATCTAATGTTCGATTCGTCTTTTTTATTAGATCATTTTGACTAGTGCATGTATGAGCTATTCCCGGGAAATTTTAACCGTAATGATGCTAAAACATGTAAATTGGCTTGATTTGTTACATATTTGCATGTGAATTTTTTTTGCTGTATTTGTATTAGTAGTCAATGAGCATGCAAAAGTTTTATGTGGGAAAATCTGATCTTTTTTGTTAGATCATTTTGACTTAATGTTTGTACAGATGTTTTTTGGGAAAATTTAATTATAATCGATACTTAAGCAAATATAAAGGGCTTGATTATGGACAGTTTTTTTTTAGTGATTCAAAATGCCATATAGTATTGATACGATCGTAAAAATTATTCAGGTCCGAGAAACTGGTAAAGATGAATCGAATTTTATTGTTGTATGGGCATTGGGTGTTTATCTTGTTGAGAGTGAAGACCGCGAAATAGAAATTACTCTTTTCATTCCAGTTAATGAATACGAGAGAGATCCTAACGTTCAATCAGTCTTTGTAAAAAGCGAATATTATCCCTTAAGTTGTAGAGTTCGTGTAACAATTTTAGCTTAAAAATAGCATAAATTTAGTTATGATCTATTTTTTTTAATATTTAAAATATTTAAATA